GGAAGAAAAGTGAATAAACAGGTTTGTACTAAAATTCCACATTAGTTCATTACTGTGTGAATAGATTGATAAAAGAAAACACAGTTACACTGTGGAAAGGTGAGAAAAATAATCTTAAATGCTGGTCCTAAATCATGCTAAGAAGGCAACACCATTTTCTGTATGTGAGTTATATCCAAATCACTCAAAACACTTTCTGGCATAAAACAAAATAAAATGTTAATTATCATTATTTTATAAAACTTATTAACACTTATTATTTAAGCTAACATTTAGATGGCAGAAGATAACAGACAAGCCATAGAGAATACATAAATTTTAATATAATTTTCACATGTCACAAAATATTCTTTGGATGTTTATTCCCAGTGTTTAGCAATGCTGGCAAATGCAGATAAACAAAAGATATTGTTAAATTGTATTATATTATCTGACTAGGACCTTAGGAATGTGTGGAGATGGGGGGGGCGAATTTTGGTCTTTGTCTTTCTAATGGTCCCAGCCAATTAGACCTAACTAAAGTTAAGGTGCATTGAGGGTTTATGAATCATTGACCCAGCTTGTCACTTGTTTTTGTATGTCCTGTAAGCTAATAATAGTTTTACATTTTAAAATTCTTGAATAAAATTTTTGTGATATGTGAAAATTCAACAAAATTCAGATTTCCATGATGGAACAAAGCTTTACTGGCACCCAGCCACAGTGATTTGTTTACATCTTGCTTTAGGTTATTTTCATGCTATAAGGTATTTAAGCATTTGTGGGAGATACATTATGGTTGGCATAGCCTAAATATCTACACTCTGGCTCTTCATAGAAGATGTGTGACATCTGTTGATCTCCATCCAAATCCTGCAGTATCACATTTTGAGGAATGCAAATTCTGGCTTATGCCTTTCACAACTTTAAACACATATGGCCTATTTCTAGTGCTCAAGGAGAGGGTCTGGTGGGAAATGCTGATATTACTTCTGAGTGGTGACATTCACAAAGTTGTTTCCCTCAGCATGTCCAGGAGCACCTAGTCTTCTGCTGGCCACTTGGGTCAGATTAAAAGCATCTACAGGTACTCACTATTTTCCCTGCTTTGCACCTGGAGCTCCTGGGTAATTATCAAATAGCTTCATTCGGCACATTTTTCCCCTATCATCCATTGGCAGCTTCTTTTTAATTGCAATTTTGATGTTCTAATATATTTTCCCCTTTTCTCTTTTTGTTATTTGTTTTGTTTGTTTGTTTGTTTTGGTAGCATTGGGTATTGAGCCCAGAGCTTCATACTAGGCAAGCACTTTACCACTGTGCTACAAGTATTTTCTTAGCCCTTATTTTGCTAGTCTTTCAATATGTGCTTTAATCATCTGATTTCAAGATGTCTAATGTCATGCCAAACCATACCTGGACACTAACATTTAGTAGTTTAATGGTAGGATGAGACAAACAAGAATTTTAAAAATACATAAATTTTCTAAGAAGAAATTTTTCAAGGAACTGTGAAGTCGTCATTGAACTCATTGTTATAACCTGAATTAGGTTTTCTAAATTTTGTTTTTCTCCCTAAGGATTGTTTTTTCACTGATTTAAGCATTCAATTATTTTCTCTTTCTTTCCCTTTTATTGATTTTCTTGTTTCCTTCTCTGAGTAGGTACCATCCTGTTCTTATTTGAAATGCAAAGAATTAAAGAAATTAAAACAGAATTTTAACTAGTATTTCTTTTATCTAAATTAAGAAGGTAAGAGAAAGGTAACTTTTAATAATCCATTTTCTTTTTTTTTTGTTGTTGGTACCAGGCATCAAACTTGAGACCTTGCGCTTGTGAGGCAGATGACGGAACCACTGAGCTAACTCCCCAGCCCAATAATCCATTTTCCATTAATTGAAGAAGTGTTCACTCTCATGGCCATGTGGACTTACTTGCAAGTGTATGCATTTGGCTTACATTAGTTCACATCTTCTCATTTGTAGGAGAGTGTGTCCTGTACCATTAGTAAAAGTACCACCTGCACAGTTTCCAGTCAAAAGGGAGACTCAGTGAGTACTGTAGTAATCAGGTTTTCATCACCATGACAATATACCTGAGAAAGTCAGTTTAAAGGATGAAAGGTTTGTTATGGCTCTCAGTTTCAGAGGTTTCAGTCCATGGTTACTTGGCCTTGTTTGTTTGGGCCTGTGGTAAGTCAGAACAGTATGAAGAGGAGTGTGTGGGGAATTAAACTTCTTACCTCATGGTGATCAGGATGGAATTAGAGAGAGGGGAGGGACCAGTGCCCTTAAACCCCCTTTAGGGGAACACCCCTAATGACCCAACTTCTTTCTACTTGGCTGACCTCATAAAGGTTCCAACACCTCTAATAAACACCACAGATTGGCAACCGAGTCTTTATTTAACACATGGTCTTGAAAGGACATTAAACATCCAAGCTATAATGATTATAAAATATCAAGTTAGAGAAACCATATAAAATAATTTCCCTCTGACTAAATCTCAGCTACATTTTGTAATCTCTACTTTTTTTGTGGAACTGTTTGACTGTGAAGATAAATGTAGGACTTGACAAGACAGAGCATTAGGTTTATCAGCCTAAAGGAATCCTGAAACAGTTTGACATCAGTTGCTCTGGTTACTTTAGGCCATGTCCTTTTGTTAAACCCTGATAGTAGTTGACATCATGTGTGAATATATTGTATGAGGAAATAGTCTACAGACTGACATTGTCCTTAGACAAAAAGTTCTCTGGAAACAAGGATTCTGCTTGAATCTGTCCATTGCTATTTTTCTGTCTGAGTAGTAAATGTATTGACATGCACATGCTAATTTACCCAGCTAGCATTTACTGAGCACTGGCCATTCAGGTCTCAGATATAAAGAATTAAAACATCTTTAATCCCTTCAAGGTATTCTGTGTCTAGTATAGAGAAAGGTTTGTAAATCATGATATAAGAGTATGTGGTACATGCTAAGGCAGATCTAAGTGCAAAGAGGTTTTTCCTCCACACTGAAAAACTTCACAGAGGAGAAAATGTTCATGCTAAAAACCCAGCAATGTGTCGGAGTAACCAGACAGGCAAGGACAGACCAGTACAGAGAGAGATGGGTGTACAATAACTGATGCCTGAAGATCCTCCCTAGGCCTTGTGGCAAAGCTTAGGGTATCCTTTCCATTTGCCTTCTCCAACCCTAGAATCTGGGCTGGCTGTTTGACTAAATCTTGTTTAATGGAATGTGGCTGAATCATTTTGTGACTTCTGATGCTACATCCCAAGAAATCTTACAATCTCTAGCTGGGAATCCTAGAATCTTTGATTTTTAAGATAATCTCTCTTGGTAGAACTAACGGGGGACATGATCGATGCATGAACTTACTTGTGTATGGAAATGTCACAGAGAAACCTATTAATTTATATAATTAATATATGTTAATATCCTCTCCCTTAAAAACAATACAAGAACAAAAAGAGAGGCTTTTTCTTGGAAGCCATCTCAGTCGTGCATCTCCTTGAGCCGATTATGGCATGTGAAGCCTGAGCATTGTGCAGACTCTGTGAAAGAGGAGCCATCACATGGAGGTAGGCCAGCAGCCTTACGTGGAGGCATCAAACATGTGTATGAAGAACCTCTCTTGGAAGAATGTCTTCCAGCCTAGATATCTTAGTGTATTAGTTGAAGTCATACAGAGTTGAACACCTGGCATTATAGGTGTGATAACCCTGGAAGAATTTGAACTCAGAACCAAAGGTAACTTCGTGTGTGAATCAGATAAATGATCGAAATGAAGTTATTAAGTCTGTGTCTCTGCTTTCCCTCCCTCTTTCTCCCCATGTTCTTCATTGTATTCCTTCTCCTCTTCCTTTCTCTTTCTTCCTTCTCTCTCCATATCTTCTTTCTTCCTCTCCTCTTTCATGTTTTTTTTTCTCCTTTCTCCTCCTCTAACATTACGGTGGCTATTCTTTTTTACACAGTAACGAAGATCACAGGAAGTATCTTTCAATATACACTTTGTTTTAATGATCCTTTTACTTCCAGTTTCAAACTCAGTAACACAAGAGAAAGACTCTGAATGGTGGGACATGTTTCATTTTTTCCTCCCTGAATCAAATACTGCAGTTCATAAAATGGGCTATAAAAACTTGTTGGGTCAATGGCAAATGTGCCAAAGCATGGAGACTGCTATGAGTAGAATTCCCTCCAAATAAAACTAACAAAATAAGGAAGATTGTTTTTCTCTAAGGAATGGAGATGTTGGACTATAGTTAAATGGAAGAAGAATAGCAAGTAATGAACATATTTTAATCAGGTGTTTATCATGGAACTTCATTTGAAGTACAAATATAGCCAGAATTTTTACCAAGGAGTGTTGTGTAGCTACTTTAGCTTGTAATGAATTAAATGTGCTTTCTTGGTTACATAGTTTACCAAAGTCATGTGAATTTTCTTAAAAGTGTTTGGCTTTAATTTGTTTTTACTAAAAAAAGTGAAGATGTTTTTCTTTTTGCAAGAAAAAATATCAACATTATAAACTTTGAACTTTTCTTCCAAGTTTAACAGATGTGTTTGTATTAAGAGAACCATAGACTCACATTTAGTCACTTTGAGAGTGATAAGTGATAATTGTTTCAAGATGTTTAGTAAGGGAATTTAGTATACAGCTATAGCATAAACTCCTTAATCTATTCAATCACTCACTAAATTTTTAATGATGTGGTCCTCTCCTAGACCAAGTAAATAGATAAATCATAAAAGAAAAGAAAGAAAGAAAGAAAGAGAGAGAGAGAGAGAGAGAGAAAGAAAACAGAAAGAAAGAAAGGGATAATTAGCCTTGAATTTTTAGTGACCACAGAAAATGAGGATGAATGCACAATTACACTAGTATTGAGTATTCACAAAAGAAAAACATAAAATTTAAACTTGTTCCAACAATTAATTAAAAGAAAATCATTTTTCATATGAGTTTTCACATAGATGACACAGAAAGAAAGAGAGGTAATTAGCAATGTCTTTAATTATATCTTTCCTACAGGAAAAAACATCCAGAAATGTTCTGGAACAAATAGTCAGCCCCTACCTTGAGTTACTTGCACAATGGTATATAAAAGAGGCTTAATCACAAGGAATGACAGTCTCTGTCACTTAAAAATAATAATAATAATGATAGGGGATATGTTTCTAACACAACTGGGTCCCAACAAATTTAGTTTTTACCATGGACATGTATGCTATGGAAGTCAGGCCATTCACTACCAGACAGGCTAGAAACAATTACATTGTGGATATGGACTCTGCTGTTCACTAAAACTGGTAAATGTTCACTAAGTGGATCTAGATCAGGCTGCTAGAGCAGGAGAGAGAGAGTCTTGCTCTCTGGTTGCCATGAACTGAGCAGTTTTATTTTGTCATGTGCTTCTGTACTATTTCTGCCTTGCAGCCAACTGAACATGGATTAAATCCCCTGAACAATGAGCCAAATAAAATTCTCCCCTTTAAGTTGTGGATGTCAGGTATTCTATCCTAGTTATAGGAAATCTGACTAATACAGAAAACTAGTACAAGAGAAGTGGGCTCATTGATGTGACTATATCTGATCATGTGGTTTAAAAACAATTAGGATAGGTTTTCAGAAAGATTGTGGGAAGGTTTGGAGAAACTGGCTAGAGAAGATTCAGAATGCTGTAAAAATAGCTTGGTAGGCTATTCTGGTGAGTGTTTAGAAGGCTAGAATGCTGAGAGGGATTCAGATGGTAAAGATCAGGCTCAGGAAGTTTCAGTTTAGAACAAGGATTTGATTGGCAATTGGAGTAGAGGGCATGTGCATTACACTCCAGAAGAAAATTTGTCTTTGTTTTATCGATATCCTGAGACTTTGCAGGAGATTAAGGGCATTGAACTAATTAATCTTGTAGAGGAAATTTTAAGACAGCCTAAGGTTCAGACTGTGTCATGGGTACTAGGAGCTACTTTGAGCCAGATGTGTAGTAAGAATTAGGGGCTAAAGAGCAGAAAAATTTGAAACACATGAATTTTGGCTTCAAACAAACCATATATAAAGCTGGGAACAAAGGAGGCATGGATGCTAAAGAATTTAAAATTGAACCATTAAAAAGAAACTAAGTACTTAATATAGGGGTATGAAGAAAGATGCTTCTTGGGCATCTCAAGAATCAGAAACTTCACACAGATAGCAGGCTTAAAGATGCAAAACTGTTACTATTTCATTTGAGATAAGCATCTCTGTGACCCCTGCTTGATAAAGGTCACTTAGGGAATTCATTCCCAGGGATTCATTTCACATGTTCAGCACCCATTGAAACTCAGAGGCTGCTGCAGCCACTGTCCATGGGAGTGTGGCTACTGCTTCTGCTCCCAGAAGATCTTGGAATTGTTCATAGGATGGTGGTCTTACTGGCATATAGAATACAAGAACTGTGGATCAAGGAGTCTTCCACCAATATTTCCAAAGAATTCCTGGGAATTCAGGCAAGGAGCTGCTGAGAGGACAATGCATGAAGCCATGGGAATGAAGCTGAAAGTGCAAAGGAACCCTCACAAAGTCAGGAATTCTAGGAATGTGGAAAATGAACAGAGGAAACGTGAAGGCTCTGAGTAGAGTCATTCTGAGATAGGCCTTACGGATGTCATCAGGCAAGGCCATAAGAGTAGGGGAACCCATTCTCTGTGTGCTCAAATTTTACCAACATATGCCCCCAGATACTGGAAATGGTGCTACAGAATTTAATATCTGTCCTGATGGCTTTTAATCTTGCTTTGGACCAATTCTTTTGGTCCTATTCCTCCGTTTTGAAATGGGAATGTTTATCCTGAGACATTGTACTAAGGGATTGTGTAACTTGTTTTTGATTTTTGCAGAGGTTCATAGCTAATACTTGGCCTTGAGTCTCAGAAGAGATATAGACTTGGGCTTTTGAAAAATTCTAGAACTGTTGAAACTTTGGGAAAGGGATTATTGTGTTTCTGGTTGTATGAGGTATAGTTGCATTGTGTTAGGTACAATTATAAACTTACTACTCTCTTTATATGGAGATTAAGCATGGTGTAAGGAGATGTGTTCATGTGTGAAGATGACAGTTAATCCTGTGATCTTACCTGAAATTTTATCCTGGTTCATCAACATCATGGGGTAAGAAATGCCTCCTAGGTTAGTAAAGCATACTTCTGGGTGTGTCTGGGCAGGACCTTGGGTGGCATATGTAGTCCCTAGCCTCTTCCTCTGTTCTGATTTCTGGCTGCCATGAACTGAACATATTTTTTCTTCCATGTGCTGTTGCTGTGATATTTATGCCTTGGAGCCAGCCCATTATAGATTGAATCTCCCCAAAATTGAGCCAATTGAAACTCTCCTCTTTTAAGTTGTAGATGTGAATGTTGACTAAGACACCTTGCTTATCACCTTTCCATTTCTCTCATTTGTTTTGATCATTGTTCTCTCTGCGTCTATTCATCTACCTAAGATACCTACACTTTTAAAAAGTGGTCTTTCAAATATTATCATAACCTCTTTGCTTATTGGCTTCATTTCATTGACAAACATTATGTAACATTGTATCATGTCAAGGTAGGGAAAAGAAGAGTCAAAATCACCTCTGGAAAAGTTTTAGTTTACATAAATCAAACACGTGAAACTTTCAGGCTATGAAGCATACTTGTAAAGCACATGATTTCAGAGGATGGTTTTTATAGCCAGACTGCATAGGAATGAATCTAGCTTGGAGACTTTCTAGACATGTGATTTTTAGAAAGTCAACTAAACTCTTTTTGTATCAGCTGTTTGTCTATAAAATAGGATAGTAACAGTTCCCATCTCATGGGGTTATTGTAAGGATAAAATGAATTCATACAGGAATACATGAAAGGCACTTAGGAAAGCATATTGGTACATACTGAGGACTCAACTAATATTTGCTATAGTTATTCTTTTTAAAAAGCAGTGAATTTAAAAAATTTTTTTAAAACTCATTTGTTTAATCATGAGTCCCAAGGCTCTACCCCCACCAGACTCATTTAGTGTCTCCTCTATCTTTCTTCTTTTCACCAGACAAATGAATTCAGGCCCCTCAAAATGCTTGTTTCCTTCTGTTCTCATGGCTTTTGTGTTGGAGGTGTTTATAGAATTACACACCCCTGTTCTTGATTAGTTACTTTATTTCCTTTTCTTCCACAGTAAATTGTAAGCTCTATGAATGCAGAAAACTTTTCGCTCTCACCACCATTTTTCAAAGACAAGTACAGGTAATTCACATATAAATCATAGGGTAAAACAGAACCTGATCATACTATTTTCCTCTGAGAGTTAAGGATTCATCTTATAGAACCCAATATTATAGTCTTTATCCACTTTCCCCAAGTTTTTCCGTAAGAGTGACCCTACTCATCTCAATCTCTCTGTAAGCATCAATTTAGATATATAGCACACAGATTCTTGAAATCTTATTGTTCAAAAGGATCTATGAGGGCTGGGGATTTAGCTCAGTGGTTTTGCTGCCTGCGGCGCAAGTGCAAGGACCCGAGTTCGATCCCCAGTACCAACAAAAAAAAAGGATCTATGAAATCTCATAGACCAAAGTGACCATATCACTGCAATGAAATCTTGAAGTAAATAAATGATTTGTTTAATACCATACAGTTTACCAGAGCAAGAATCTGAAAAAAAAAGTGAAATCTGGTGCAAATAATAATGGTGTCTTTATCTGTTTGGACAACTAATTATTTTTCATACCTTTAACATAGAATTACTGAACTAGCTCATACCCTGTCTCTCTGACCATTTCATCTCAGAGATATATTTAAAAATTTCCTTTTCTTGAAGAACATCATTTGATACAAACAGAATTCAATGTGATCATGACAATTTATCATCATAGGAATAGCCACAAAAGGGAAAAGCAAAGCTCTTTGTTGAACATTTACTGTGTGCCCAGTCTTGTTCTCAGTATTATGAGTCAACTGATGGGGTCTTCACCTCTGTGTGACAGAGAGTTTTTGTGGGTGCCATGGTGATGACCATTTCACAAATGCAGAAGCTGAGGCCTTGCTTGAATAGTATTGCTGATGTTCACCAGTGGGTCAGACTAAAACCTTGGTGATCTTTCCAGACATAGTTCTCTTAACTACAGGTTTGTCTTGCCCTACTCAAAACAGAGAAGAAAGAGGTATAGTGATGAGAAGAGACTTCTTGGGGAGATTTTTCTTGGATAAACTTTGAAGTACCTGACAGACCCTTGGTATTTCCTTGGATCAATCTCCCTCCTATAATAATAGCTAAGGTAGGTCATTCTCACCAAGAGTTTCTTGTTCTGATTTTTTACACACATTCTTGCTCTTGTCCAGCTAATTTAGTCTCTTTCACTCTCTTCACTCCTCTACTTCCCTTGTCAAATCAGTCAGCTCAAAACACTTCTGCAGCCAAGCAACAAGGTTTACTAAAAAATGTGCCTGTAACTTTGCTTCGTCTCCTGTGGCAGGTCATGTTTCTCCAGCATACCTGAAAACCAGCTCACTATGGTCATGGCCATGGTTGTACTTAATCCTCAGTTTTCTTAGTGTCCTTTAGTGAGGGTTGGAGAACCAAGATAAAGCTCATGCCCATGTTACGTACTACAGGTAGGTCACACATTGTCCAGAGCATATGAATATCTATGTGACGGTTTATTTTATGTGTCAACTTGACTGGGATATGAAATTTGTCTCCTTTATCCCACCCCCCATTGGACTGCACAAGATGGAACACTTCACTTTACCTCTCCCCTAGGATCGGACTTAATGCCATTGGCTGTCTTGGTCTTCAGGCCTTCAGAATTGGTTGGAGTTAATTACTCCATCCCTACCCTTTTGCTGTCCAGCTTGCAGACTGTGAATACATGATGGGACTTTTCTGCCTGCATAGTCAAGTGAGTCAATTCCTCTCACTCCCTCCCCCGTTTCTAACTATTAAATAGAATCTCCTGTTATTCTGAAAAACCTCGATTAAACACATTCTGAGAAATTCTTCCTGATTGAGATCCCAGACACAAACCTATGCATAATTTTTGCTCACCTCTGTGTTTCTTCCTTACTTTAGTGTCCTTTGGGATGCTAATGATCACAAAATGATTTTCTCTTAAATATCTTTTTAAATTTTGTATAGCTTTGCAATGGAAGAGGGGTATTTGAGTCAGATTTCTTAGTAGAAACAGTCTGCCATTTGGGCTGCTATTTACATAATTGTGATGATTTGTGTGTGTAATCCTGTTTTTCATAGAAGAGTTCAGTGAATTGGAAGAATGTGGTAGATTAATATTTTGACTTACAATTGGAAAAAATGTTTCAGATAATTTATGATTAAGCCTGCAGAGAAATAATGCTGAAGCTTGACTATGTCTCCTCTTATAGCTAAGCTTAAATTAAAGTGCTTGGGTGAAAGAAGTAAGACATCAGATAGTAAAAGATTGAATTCAAACTCCACTGCTTACTGTCTGTGAGACCATGGACATTCCCACACCACACCTCAGTTTTCTTATCTATAAAATGGGACAATAATTTTAGAACAAATTGTTGATTATGTGACACAGTGCTAATCAATTTGAAAATATTCTCCAAATGATTATTTTTTGTTTTATATCTAGTTACCTCATTATTGTATGTAGGTAGGTTAAATTTTCAAGTTATTCTGGAATTAAAATATACTAACAATGTAGAATGATAAATATGAAGTGCCCTTGAAAGTAATATCTATTTTCTATCTATTCCAGCTTTGAGTAAATGTCCCCTGCCTTTCATTAGCTCTAAAACAGTGGAATTGATTTGAGATCCTGGAAAATGTAGATTTATGATGGAGTTGAATTTGGGGTCATAAGGTGTTATTTTATGATCACTAGTGACTTCCTTCTCTACTTTCCCATGAGATTTTCTGAAGGCTGACCATATTTTGTATTATTAATAAATCTTCAACTTACCACATGGGGAAAATTTGAAGAGGGTGGTCCTATGTTGCTTGCTCTCTACATTCTTCTGGTTCTTAACTGAACAAGAAAGTAATAAACTAGACTGGTGCATTTCTGGAGGTCATCGGTGAGATTCATTTTGTATTTTTGAAGGGCTCTCCGTAGACTGGAGCTTTATCTCTTAATTCTAACATGTAGAGGAATAATGTGAAATTCTTGCAAAAATCAAGGCTGTGCTTCCATCGTTTGGAGTGAGATTCTATATATCTAACAAGTGCACAAGTGACATTGTGCTTCTTATCAGAAAATCAAACTTTAATGAGATTCTGAAAATTCCTTAAGCTAAGAGTTTTTAAAATATGCGCTTTACTGGGCCATACTCTCAGAGATCATGATTCATCAATACTGGAACCAGATGTCTATACTTTTTAATACTAGCATAGGTAATTCTGACAATGTGCCTTGTTTTGGAACTGCCAAAGGCTTTCCAATTATGAAGGTTTTGATTTATCTGGGTCCAATCTACCTCTGCAGCCTACACTTTGATAACTTATTCTCAGACTGTGCTGCAGCAGCTATTCAGTCACAATTCTCTGAATATGCTGTCTCTTCATGGGCTGTTTCCTGGGCGTCAACATATTTTTCTTTTTGTATATCTTTTGTTTCTGTTTGTATTTTTGTATAACTACTTTTTTTTTTTTTAACACAAGGTTTTGCTATTTAGTCCAGGCTGGCCTTGAACTCATGGCAGTCCGCCTGCCTCAGGCTCCTGAGTGCTGGGTTTACAGGCATGTGCCACCATGCCCAGCTAGGAACTAATTATTCTTAAAGATTCACCTTCTCCATGGAACCTTCCTGGATGCTGAAGTCCAGTGGTTTTCAAAGGTGAAGAGTTTTGTGTCCCTCTCATTTTTAAAGACTTTTGATAATGTGTAGAGAAATTTGTGGTTGTCATAACATGGGGAAGTGCTACTGGCACCTAGCACTTAGAGGTCAGGGATGCTGTTGCACATGGGGACACTCTGTAGCATATAGAATAATCCCCACAACAAGGAACTGTTTATTCACAATATTATTAGTGCTAAGGTTGAGAAATCTCCTCTAGGGCGAGTTAGATGTCCTTTTTTTAGGGCTCTCTTAACTGCTTTTCCCCTATTACCATTCACACTTTTTTTTTGGTGCAAGGGACTGAACCTACAACCTCGCATGTGTTCAGCATGTGCTTATGCATGGCAAACATTGAATCACACCCCTAGCTTCAAACTTACATTTTTATTTATATATATATTTTTTTGTCTCCTCAATAGCCTGTCAGGTTCCTGGACAAACATTTGTCCCTTTGACCTCTATTTCCTCACAATCAGTATCCCAATCAATACCAGTAAATATACACATATTAGTACATATGATTTTATAATGAGAGAAAATTGCATGCATGTATAGAAAAGTGGGTAAATACATCCTTAAATGTATAAACGAATTTACAGATAAACCCATATGCAGTGTTTTGTGGTGAGCAGATAATCTATTCTAAGCATTTAGACAGATTCATGGACTTTGGCTGAGTGCGAGATGTTACTCTGGCCTGAAAGGCATAATATCAAGTCATCAATCATCAACTGTAGAGTCAACCTCTTGAGGGAAGCACTCCATTTATCGTGTGCCAATTGGAAGGAATACAATTGACTCGAACCAGCTGGCTTTGGCCTCTCTGAAAGGCTGTGACCCATTTAATCAGTTTGGAATGCATCCATAACTTTGAAGGTGGATCAGGAAAGATGGCAAGCATGGACAAAGTCAGCTGAGACCAGCACTCTCCCCATTTAAAGTATTTGATGTGAGAGACACCATGATTAAAAAAGAGAAAAGCTATGTGAGTAAGGTCAAGGGCAAGGGTGGGAAGATGGGTTATTCTTTATGATTTCAAAAACTGACAAACTATGTTTAGTTTGGAAAGAACTGAAAAACCCCACATAACTCAGGCTGTGCTCCACTGCATCAACAGTGTGGGGAAATAGTGAAATCTGCAGTTCCTGCTTTCTGTCTGTCATCTAAGCCATTTCAGGGATTGTAATCCTGGGCAGTGTCTTTCAGCTGGGGCCACTCCCTGGGGAGACCCAGTTATTAACAAGACATACATTGAAACCCATGGCCTTTCTCCTACCTGTTTTTGATTTTACTTCTTCCTAATGCAATTTCACTGACCTGTTGGAAACCAGACAAATGAGACTAGCTCTTCCCTGACCACACTCTCCAAATTTGCTCCACAAATTGAATTGCTACACCATGTGAAAAACTCTGGTCTAGGAGATTGGAAATGATCTCTGAGGTTTCAACAGACTATTCCTTCCAAGGAGCCAATGTTCCTTGCTTCATTGTATCCTCACCAGCTAGAGTGATTCACTTGGCTTTTCACTACCACAAATGGTGACGCTTTCATAATTTAATTTCAAGCAGCAGACTGTAACCTTTGTTAGAATAAGGATTATTTCCTTATTGTTTACCATTGTATCCATGAAACCTAACACAGTGCTTGGCAAGTATTTTTAGATTAAATGAATAAATAAACGTACAAGAATGATCAAAATATACGGTGAATGCTTAAATTTTAAAAAATTATTACAACAAAAGACACATTGCCATTAACCCCCTTCAAAATACTGCCCCTCCCTTTGAACACACTTATTTCATAGTTCTTGCTACTTTCTAAAACAGTTCTGCAAGTCTTTTGTGGTTTTAGGAAGTGTGATCAAAAACACAGTGAATGTTGTTGTCAAATGTCATCCAAAGGAAAGATAGGGTTCTAAAAACATTATGGCAGGGGCCAGGGATTTAGCTCAGTGGTGCTGCCACCTGCCTTGGAGTCGCAAGATCCCAAGTTTGATCCCTGGTAACAATAAAAAAAACCCAAAACATTATGGTGTGTCCGCATCTACCTTAGTCACCAGGTCTGTGACTGTGTGACTTCTGGCTCTTCTTCAAAGTCTAAGTGATCATGAAAAGCAAATATTTCAGTTCCATTTCAGGTCATGGAAGGAGCCCCTACAGCTCAACTAAAGACATGATGAAGGACTTTCAAACTTGCCTCAGAAAATGGCAAGAATGATGCAATAAGTGTGTTTGAATCTATAGGGAGTATTTTGAGGTAGCTTAATGACAATGCATCTTTTCCTGTAAACGTTCACACATTCACCACATTTTTCAATCATACACCACAGTTTATGAAGAAAATGTATGTATTCCTATGCATTGATATAGAAATGAGTGTTAAGTGTATGCTTTTGGAATTAGATCAAGTCTGATGAAAAGTACTTTTTCTAGAATTCAGTGTTTAAAGATGCCTTCAGTGCTCAAGCCTTTTAATAACTAGATTTAATATTTCCTGAAGCCCAATAGTACTTAAACGTATTGATGCTTCACTTCCTTGTAACACTTCCCCTGATGACCTTATTTAATTGACAATGATTCCCATCTTTATTCCTTATATTCTTTTATTCTCCTTCTGTCTGTCTGTCCCCTGTTCACTGCATTTACTGTATTAGCCTGACTGAACACCAACCCTGGTTCATTCCAATGCTCTTCCTTTCTACACAGGAGAAGCTGCCTGGAGAGAATTCCTTTCCCTCATTCTTGAGCACATGGACACATGCACGCATGCAGAGAGAGAGAGAGAGAGAGAGACCCATTCATGTTTCCTAGTTTGCCCTCAAATTATGACCACTCACCTTGTACCTTTTCACAAGGCATCAAAATCCAACTCACCTCTCCAGAGCAGGGTTTTTGGCAAACGTTTTCTGTAAAAGATCAGACAGTAAGTATTTTAAGTTTTGGGTTACAACTTGGCTATCATAGAAGGGAAGCAGCCATAGACAAATATAAATGAATGGGTGTGCCTGTCTTCCAACCAAACTATTTACAAAAGTAAGCAGTAGGCTGGATATGGCCCACAATTTATAGTTTAACAACCATGCTTTAAACTGGTCAATCTTATATTATTCTAGAAAACTATTTTTTTATCTTCTCTATTTTTTTCAAACCTTCAGCTTTCACTGCCCACCCATGCCAAGTGTTTGCTTTTAATCTTTTTCTCTATTTTATTAAAGTATTAATGAGAATCGTAGAGGAAGACTCCCATCTTCCATCTGGCCTGGACATGAGCCTGTTTTGCTCTGACTTTCCTCCTGTTGCTGTGGATGAGAAGTCTGTGTTCTTCTTTGGGTCTAATTCCTCTGCTTAATGCCCTGCATCTCATCTCCTCTCCTGTACTTAAGGGAATATTTCAGCAATCCATTTCTCTCTTTTCTGCCCTATTAATTATTTCATCCTTGCCAGATTGTTCATATCAGCATATAAATAAACTGTAGTAGCTGTTATCTGAAAAAAAAGGAAAATGAAGAAAAACATTCCCTAATTTCATGAGCCTCATGAGCTACAGCCCCATTTCTCTGCTCCTCTTGCTGGAAAATGCAGTGAGTCATTTATCAGTCATCTCCATTTCCTCTCCTCCTGGGCTTTCTTGAACCCTCTCCCATCAGATTTCCATCGCATCATCCCACTCAGGCAACCATCCCTGCTGACCTTTCCTGTCAACTCCTCATTCTCTACTCCTATACTCACTATTCCAATCTTTTTTTAGTCTCTGTCTGAGGAACATATAAAACAATGGATTACTGCCACCTCTTTGCCTGGTTTCCTTCAAATAGCTCCCGAGATCCACTCCCTCTTGTCTCTAGCTATTCTTTCTCTGGCTCATGAGCTCTTCACCCATAGGTCAAATACCATCTTTTCAGCAACCTTTCTGATCTCCTGCACAAAACAGTAATCCCTTTATTGCTTCTCCTATCAGGAGGGCTGCTCAGCTGCTTTATTTTCCTCAGAGTACTTGCAGTAAAGCTCATTATATATTTACATATGTTTGACTCTTCATCACTGCCTTCCACACTAGACTTGGGAAAGTAGCGTTCTGTCTGCTATCATAATCCCAACTCCTACAGTTTCGGCATGGAGTAGGAAATCAGCATTTGCTGAATAAGTGACTGAATCTGTCAAATTCCTTTTGCACATTCAATCATATGATGTGGCCACCATTGCTTCATGAGAATGTTGTCCACTGGTTTCTGCAAAGAAGCCTAAAACTCAAAGTGAGTAAGTGTTCTGCATTAAAAAAAAAAATCACAACACAGGTAAGAAGCAAGCCACAGTTTTGGGGGTTGGTCATCTAACCTCTGTTTACTGCCCTAACTCTGGAAGGCTCTGTGTGGAGCCATGACCTCCAGCTGGTTAGTATCTGCAGATTCTCTGAGCCTGGGTATGCAACCTCTGACTACAAGGAGCTGTGCAGACCAGTGTCAGGGCAAGAAGTGAAGGGGCTGAGTGGCCTTGTGTGAGGCCTGTCTCCAGCACCCACTAACTGCCTGCTTTTTGCCAGTGACTTAACTTCTTCTGTTTGGTTTATTTAATTTAACTTTTTTATTTTATGAAACAATAAAAGAAAATTTTGTGACACAATAATTAGAGAATAACAGTAGTTAACACACTGTGCAGGTATCATTATCTTCAAAGTAGTTACTGAGAGGACAAGATAGAAACTAAAATGTATATAGGCAAATGAAGAGGAAAAGAGAAGATAGATAAATACGAAATAGGGCAAAGTTCAAGTAATTTCCCAAATTGGTAATTCTGTTTCAAAACTATTTTAATTTATATGCTAATTGCTTTCATTCATATTGCTAATTTCTCTTATTTCATTGCAAAGAAAGTTTTGTGTTTTTAATCTGCTTGTTTCCTCTTTATAAGAGAGAATCTTTTTTATCAGTGACAACTTCTATGTGAATCAGTTTCTCCTTTTGTAAAATGGGATTAATATGTGACTTATAGGTAGCTAAGAGGATTAAACTAGTTAATATGTTCATAGTGCTTAGAAAAGTATGTGGAAGTATACAGTACATAATAAACTCTAACTAATCATTTGCTAAAGAAAACTGATGTCTTTCTTCCTGACTCTTGGCTGTGGCTTTAGCAACACAATTTGTGGTGAGTGATTTTAACTTTCCCCCTGAAAGACCACAGAAGAGACAACAATTTAGACTTTGTCTCCCTGAGGGTTTTAATTTCTTCTGATTGATTTGATGTGTCAATTCAGAGAAGGAAAAAAAAATTTAAAAACACACCAAACATCTAGTCAAATCAGTTAAACATCAGTTTGGCTGTTTTTTTTGGTTTTTGTTTTTTCTTTTTTGTTTTAATCTTAAGCTTACTTGAAGTTTGCTTAAAGAGATCAAAAGCTTCTTTTTTTTTCTTTTCTTGAGGTGCAGGAGGGCATCGCTCAGACACAGGCTGGACACTGACAAATACAGTTTGAATTTAGGGAAATGGAGTCTGTGGTGGTGGCTGGGGCCATGACTGCACAGGGCTGGGACTCAGGTATGAAGAGGAAAATCATCCAGCTAACATAGCTCCTCTTGGTGGGTGGATATTGTGACTTTTGGGCTTGGAGATCTAAATAGGCTTTTTTCATGCTCCTTTTGGCCAAGTGTGCCCGACCTAGGCATGGCTTCTGCATGTTGTGTGCACTGAGGAGGACAAGTTTGTTGTTCTTTATTACTACAAATAAGAAAATTTCCCATCTGAACTTCACCACCTTCATCGGCCATGATTCTTCTCCCCAGTGCACATTGCAAGAGCTGAAAAAAGTGGTGTGACTGAATGTTGTACAAGGGTATGTAATGAATGCATACTAAACTAGGCTAAGTTAAGTGGTTAGAGAAGATCAAATTGAGTGCCATGGGTGATCCAAAATCAGACTCATCTCTTTGCTAACAGTGCAGTTAAGACGATCAAAGTTGGTCTTGTTTAGAATTCTTCTTAGAACCTTAATGACATTACCAACAGCTGGAGGCCCTTGATGAGGAAATTTATCAATTTCCAGCTGGGCAATGCTTGACAGGCCAGGTAGGCATCTCTCAAAAAGACAGACTGAAGTGTGAGCTTGTGTGTGTTTAATGGATTCTGGCCTCTAATCACTATAATCAGCTACCATTTGTGCTAATGCTGACCAGATAAATCCTCTGTTGATGAAACACTCCCAACGTGAGAGCCTTCATGGTTCCCAGACAGGAAGCAGGGCTTCCTCCCACTTCTGAGATACTGTGGCCACGACTGTGTCCTGTGATGAAGGGCGGCACCTGAGTGCAGAGCTGCACAGAAGCCCATGTGGGTCTGCAGCTTCTCCTCTCCCTTGCTCATTCAATACCTTTCCCTGAGCAAGGCTTTCCTATCCTCTAGTCCCATCTACTCCTTTGCTTCACCCAAGCAATAACATGTGTATTACCTGGTAATAGATGCACAGAATCCCACAGCCCATTCCAAAGTTAACAGTGAGGAAGGTCCTCACTGGTCCCCAGATGATGTTAGTGCACTTTAAAGTGTGAGAAGCACTGTACTGGAAAAGTATTTCCTACAAAACTGCTGGCAGAGATCCGGAAGCTGGTTTTTAGATAGTAAACTGGATAATTTTGGATTTCCCAGGAATTGGGCTTTATATACAGTTGCACAACATAGGAATGACAACTTCCTTCACCATTTTCTTTTGGTAATCTTGTTCTAAACTAGATGTTTCAACAACACTCCTTAATCCCTTTTTGCAAAGGAAGAGCAGGCTCAGAAACTTTCGACAGTTAGCGGTGTGCAGCTATAATCTAGTAATGTCGTTTTCATTTCACCCTATTTCTATTTTTAGCAAATTGAAATGCTTCTGCATAAAGTTACTCTATAAACAAATGAATTTCTATTAAAATGGTATTTGTGCTAATATGGAAATTTTAAGGAAATAATAGTAACCATAGTGTGTAGCTAAGGCAGAATTCATGCCAACATGACTCTTGTTAAGCAGGCACTGATTTAGGGGTTTGAAATGAAGAATTAAGAATATGCCCAATAGCAAGCAGTGCTTTAACCAGCTGGGATCTATTAAAGTGGAGATTCTTATTCAGTAACCTTGGAATGGCTATGGAACTTGAAATCCTGCACTTCCCTCCAGTTTCAGGATGGTGTTAGTTGCCAAGCTCACTATTCTGTTGACCTAGTGTGACAAGGTTTTAAGGTAAAGGAACCCAAAAGAAAGGCCTTCCACTACTTTGAGCAGAAACTCTTCTTATAGATTTTTCTGACCAACTAATTTAACATAGAGTGCACTGTGGTATCTGTGCACAGTTACACTACTAATCAAAGGATTGCCTGCCCATTTTCTCTACATCAGTGGGTCTTTCATCAGTTTAATTAGAGGTCCAGGAGGACAGCAGGGGTGATGCTCAGTTGCTGTCTAAATCATACTACCAAAACAAATTCAGGAATGCTTAAAAGGAAAGAAAAGTTTGCTTAGTTGTAAAAATGATACATGTTCACTTGAAGGTGAGTATGGAAAGCACCAAAGAGGAAAGTAACAGGTGTAATGTTATAGCTGAGAAGTAACTTTGCTGCTGTTTGCATATATCTCTATTGTGTCACATTTTTATGAAAGAAAGAATTATGCATAATGTTGGTTTTAATTGAATGCTAAAGTACATAGTGTTTTCATTTTTTAGCTATCATTTTATATCTCCAGAATTTGTATCCCTGCAAGAAAATATTATTTTCAAACATAGTTTTTGGACTCTACACACTAGATTTCTCTGGCTCCTAAGAGAGAGATGGAAAGGGAGAGAGGGAGGGAGGGAGAGAGAGAGAGATATTTCACCAGACATTTAGAGATTTCCCATTTCCTGTGGGATATACCTTTTCTCCCAGTTGAAAATCA